GTAAATCTGATCTACTTCTGAGTCTTTTCCTCCAAAACTTGAGGAAAATCCAAAGAAAGTGGTGGGCCTCAAGTAATATGATGATGTTTCCTTTTTTGTGTGTGTTGTCTCTGTGAAAGAAAAGGTTGTGCAAGAGAGCGAATATTGCCAGAAAGTTTAGAGGTCTCTACTGAATAAACACGTTGACATTTCTGAATTTTGCACTTGATTCTTGAGACTGGGTATCAATGGACTCAAGCCTTTGACTAAATTTATACATGTTTTAAAAAGTGACATATGTGAAAAGATGTTTAGAATTTGAGCCTCATTTTCTTCATTCTGAGGGAGAGGTGGCAGTGATATGCAAAACTGCGCAAATTTCTTCAGCTTGTGCAGTTATGGGATAGAGCAAGAGTTAGTGGAGAATGAGCCAGTTTTGCACACTTGAGCAAAAACTAAAGAAGAATCACAGGTTTCTGTGGGGAAAAGGCATAGCTATGTCATTCTACTGATATACCTGTGAGCAAAACGTATCCACTTCATACAGAGACTGACAAAATGAGAAGAACAAAGGTAATGCTGCCCTACATTAGAACATAAAGTGCGAGTTGATTCAGCATCTGAAGAGAGAAACAGAAAACAAGTCTTAGACCACAGGGTGTATGCAGAATGTGAAGGTTTTATGATCAGACATTGTTCATCCAAACTATTATTCTTGTGTAATTTTCCAATATTGATATGTTACCTCATGAGAGACTCAATCTCTTCTTGGTATATTTTCTGAATTTCTTGTTTTCTGACCAAAATAGACTTCATGGGTTCAGACTGTCATATTTTGAATATGAGATATATTTACATTTTAGTAGAAATGACATGCACAGAGCAGTCACAGAATCAAACAATAGTCACAGAATCAAACATGCAAAATTAAAGAAATAGATGCATCTCTCTTGTGGTTTCTTATTTTGTTTTGCCTGAAACAAACAAAGGGAGTCTGCACATACCTAATTGTGTTCAAATATTGTAAGAATTCAAACCACATAAAAACACTCCATCATATATGGAGAAAGAACTTAGGAAGGTGTTATTCTCTCATTATGTTTTTTAAAATAACCTATTAGAAGAAAAAAGTTATTAAAAAACTTTCATAGTTATTTAGAACTCAGAATAGACTTTAATTCATTTGAGTTTTATAGACTAGTAGTCTTTAATCTTCCTCGCAGAATCTGAAGTGTACCTGTTACGTACTGGTAAATTAGTTGTCAATCCCTCGGGCAGTATATTTTAATATCAGTATTATATGGTAGATGATATAAATCTTGTGTACGGTATTATTAGCTTAGGCAGCTGCTGACTTAAAAAGGCCAGTTTAACAAGTCACCACTGTATTATGTTTAATTAGGTACAGTTTATATAATGAGGTGTTCAGTTCTAATGGAAAGACATGCTGTGAGCAGCACATCTGCAGGAATAACTATTACAATCAGCATTGCAGAGACCCATGGAACTGCAAATTAGACTTACTTATCTAGAAATAAATTACATCCCAATGCCTTCATAAAGCTCATTAATTAATTCCACTGGCATAAAGGTCTTTTTCTTAATTTCATGTTCCATTAGCATAATAAACACAATTTGAGTTACAACAGTATGATCAGTTTAATGGATGCTATTTATTTTAGTTTTTTATTTAAAGTCCCGGTAACATAGAATTAACATCAATATGCTGTTTGGTCCTTTATTAAAAATTCCCATAGGATAACCAGCACAGATGTTCAATACAGCATCATATATTTGCTGCATTTTATGACTTCACTAATTGGCCATATGGAAAGGTGTTGCTTGGATTTAATTTTTTTTTTAAATCTGATAAATTATATGGATTGTAATAGTCACAATTGGTTACTATGTGAAGTTGGACAATTTAATATACACTGCATGCTGGGAGTAAAACAAGAGTAAGCAAAGTTTTTATGTATGTGGATTCATAGTAAATAGTAACAATATACTTCCCAGTGTTTGACAATCAGCTTCATTTAAATGTAGTTCCTGACATAATTATAATTCTTTAATTTATGCAGACACTGTCTAATCAGAAGGAAATGTTACCAGTTATTTGTTTAGTCACAGGTTATAGACAATCTAGTTGTTCCATTCAGCTTTTCTTGAGTCCCACTTTTCATGATAAACTATACTGTTAGGAACATTTATGGTAAGATGTTGTATGTTACTAGAACAAGAGGTTTCATTATTCATCCAGCTAATACTGGTTACTTTAGATGAAATCCTTATCTGTGATTTTGTTAGTTTGTAGTATACTAGAAAAATGACTTAAACATTTTTGGGTTTACTTATATTGTCAATCTTATGCTAAAGCCGAACTTTAATACAACCAAGATAATTTTGTCATCAGTTTGGTGTATATATTTTATAAGACATGTCTCTTATATTGTTTTTGCACTTCCTTGTCTTATTTCTCCTCTCTGTATTTAATGTCACTGACTATCTCTGCAAATATCTTCTCCTTCAGCCTATAACGCAGTCACCTTCTAAAGCTACGGAGTGATTTTGGTTAATACTCATGTCATATAAATCCGTCATCTGAATTTTCAAATAAAAACTGATTTCTGTCATTACACTGTAATTCACCTTTCTGTTTCTCTCATGCTTTCCAAAATCATCTGAACCTGAGTCATCTATCTCAGCTAGTGCGATTTCCTTCTATTACATGACCTCAATTATGGTATCAGAAAAAACAGCACCAGAGCAGATGAGGGCAAGTTGCCTTAATTTCAGTGTGTACGTCTGTATGGGCATACACGTACACAGGGAAATAGTTCTCAAGGGTTTAAGGCATTTTGCTTTAAAAAATGCTCTGCAGCTCATTGCATTTTTTAATACCCCCAGCCCGCCACATGCACATACCCTTGGGGTTTTGGTTTGAACTTGTTTTTTTTAACAATTCCTTTTCATATGTTTAATGGCTGGAGTTTTTTAGGCATTTTAACATGGAGCTAATCTTAAAAATGAAATGCCTTTTACCTAGAAATTTAGGTTTATATTGTAATTGGAAATGATCTAGCATCATGCGGAAAAAGAAGTAGCCTTTTGTATAATCCCTTGTGGGTGACTGAGCTGTAGGAAACACAAAGCAGTGGAGACTGCATAAAGCAGTGAAGTTCTATGATCAGAATAATGTCTCTTTCTTTGTAAATTCTGTTTAGTGCAGATGTTCAAATGAAATTTTTAAAATGAATCACTATTTTCAGATGTTTTGGTATTATGGGTCCTAAGACACACATGTCAGCAAAAAATGATTTTGCACTGAAGGACAAAGCTAACATTATTACACAGCTGCATTGTCTGTGAATATAATGAAGTATTTTCATACACTATATAGTCACACCATGTAAAGATGAAAGGGAGATGTCAATAGGGGATTGATTCTATCTCACATTTAACAAACAGTGACTTGAAAAGCTTGTGCAGTTTCAAAATCTTACATAGACACTTGTTATATAGTTCAAGATGGAAATATTCATTAGAGGTTTTTAACTACAACAAACAGAAGCTGGACGAATAGTGCCGAGTGGTGGCCCTTGGCAGGTGGTTGGGCTGGGTGTGGTTACGTAGACAATCACGTATGGTCTTCTTTAGCAGTTAAAAATGAACAATCCCAATTACATTAGAGTGTAAGCTAAACCTTGCTCAGGTGGCAGCAAGCTGCTAGAGGGGATGGACTGAATGCATTTGGGACAGAAGGAGAAAATACACTTCGAAAACAGAGTATCAGAATGATTCAGGTGATCATAGCTGTTACTATATTGCTATGAAGTAGGAGTGAAATAGCAAGTAGAGCAGTAAGTATCCATGGGGACTCTGCAGCTACCTATAGACCTTCACGTGGATTCTTTTTTCCTTGCTGTACCTTGCTGTGAGAGCTTAAACTTACCTCCTGCTGTTAGCCTGTGTGATTAGCTCATGTTCCAAGTGCAAACATGCTCTGGAAAATTTTATCCTCAGGAAGAAGATAAAATACCATTGCTTTATAGCTGGTTTTAAAGGGCTATTTCTGTAGTTTATTTTGATATCTCAGTCTGTAATTCCAATTCACCTACCAAATTATATTCATAATGACAAGTAACTGGAATAGAAGATCTTGGAGAATCTTTTACCTCCCATTGCCTTGATTTCAGAGCACCTGAGATATCAGCCTGTATGAAGTTGAGTACTTTGAGTTGCCTGGCAGTACATTGGGCATATGACAGGTTGGTTTTTTTTTCTCAGCTATCTTTTCTCATAGACACCACTATCCTATCCCCACTTCCACCACCAGCTTTGCACTTTGTAGCTGAACAGACAGTAGCTGTCTTTGTAGGGTTCAGTGCAGGGTTGAATGCCTCAAATGAATGCAGCAATTTTCTTTGATCTGTAGGATTCAGATTAACAGAGAAGTCTTGGGATTGGAGAGAACAGGTCCTTCCTGTTGATGCTTACTGATCTGATCTCTGTCCCAACGATGACTGTGTTTTCTTAAAATATGAGTGGATAGATAAAGAAAGAATAGCACTCAGGGAATAAGTCCTAAGGCACACACATTGGAAGGAGATGATTGTTTATTGAAGGGCCAAGCTATCGTTATACTGCTGCTCTGCAGGGAGGAGTTCTGACAAAGGGCTGACAAGAATAGAGAGAAAATCTATCACAACACAGAAGTTTCTACATGTAGGTTTAGTTAGTCTTCTTTTGAAATAAGGGGCGTCTTTGAATATTGTTTGTTGTCTGATAGAGAGAGAAGTAGTGGAGAATCATTCTGTTTCAAGTGCAGCAAGTTTGTGGTTTGAGACTGATGGGTATTTAAATGCACACCATATGAAATGTTTTAGTGCCTTAATGAAAGGTACCTCTTCTGTTTTGGACACTGCAGTATGACTGGATAGTTCAGATCGGTAAAATACTTTCTTGCGTCCAAGGTTTCATATTATTTATGAGCAAAGTTTGGTTTATTCATTGTCTTGCAGGTTCACTCAACTGAAGTTGAATGTGGAGGCCAGGATGTTGTGGAGTTTAGAACACAGCTGTCTCCTTGCTCCTGGTCTGGCCCAAGGTAAGAAACCAAAGAAGGTGGCTCATGTACATCTGGAAGTATCAGGTGGTACAAACCACTGGGTCCAAAATACTCAATGCAAAATTCAGCTTCATGTAGAAGATAAACATACCTCCTTTATTTTTAGTCTCTGTGTATGTGCCCAAGGCTTAGGATAGAACAAAGTGTCACTGACACAGAAAAGCATGGCTGCAAGCGTTATTGCACAGACGTGGCTGGTCCTAGGAAAATTTGGCTAGGGAAGGGGCAAATTACTGCTGACTTCCACCAGAGCCCAATCACACAAAATACAGTTGAGTCAGAAAAAAAACACCTCTGCCACATAGACCTAAATGTCACCTAAATTCAGATCGAACCTTACTGTGTTGTATGGCTAGAGAAGCTCCAACAAGAATAGTTCTTGAGAAACCGAGAGCTTCTCAAACTCCTCAGCAATACCTAGAGACTGCTTATCTCATTAGTGTCCCATAAAGAGAACTGAGAGATTTCTTGTTTCTTTAAAACAGTATGAGGAATAAAAATGCAATTGAAATGCTTTGTAATGCAAACTTAATACAGACATTGACCAGATGTCAGGTTGGTACAACTGAATAAAATTTTAATATGGTCAAACATTTCTAAAAGCCATTCCAGTGCATGTTATTTTCACAGGATGTTACAGTTGCTTTTATTTGCATTTATTTGATAAATATTTTAAGAGCAGTAATATTATTTAAAAACCTTGTAGGACTACAGGTGTCACTTATCCTAATAGAATCTCTTTTCCCTGGTAGTTTATATCAGTGATCCTGTAAGTATCCATGGAAATGTATGTATTATTTTCTGCTTATAAGTTCTCTCTGTCATCTGTACTTTGCCTGGTCTTGAGGAAACAATATCAAGTACCATGCCAAGGCCTTAGACTTCAGACCACCAACTGTAGCTTTCTGGTTGTTGACTTTTTTCCACAGTACTTGCTTAAAAAAGTAGATAACTTGTAGAAAAAAAAAAATCAGACAGAAATGGATAGAGAAACTGAACAGTAACACTAATGTTGAATCCACAAGCCTTATGACCTTTTTGTTTGTTTAAGCAGCCACTTTTGATTAGTCATGGATACTGTTGCACTCAGATAAACATTAATGGTAATTGAAAACAGCACCTAATAAGCAAAGGATTTGCAGAAATTCAATACATATAGCTGAAATCAACTTCAAAAAGTTACTTTGTTCTTGTCATAATGCTTGAAGTTAATGGACAACTGAAATAGAATGGCTATATGTGTCATACACTGAGTGAAGGGGACTGACTAAAAGCCATTAGTGTCCAGAAAAGAGAGACAAAGGTAGAAATTATATTGGTTCCACATGAATCCTAACTATTCCCCAAATTCTGTGTTAGTATGACAGACAGGAGGCAGGGTCATTAATCAGAAGGTCAGATAGAGCAAGATTTTCTTGATTGAAAAGGCACCAGAAAATTCTCTAGAATGTTACAGAATCTACAAAATACTTTTTAGAAAATGGTTTAATGGCGTGATGGTCTAGGTGACAATTCTACCTGTCATCCTAAAAGGGGAAGTTAGCGTTCAACACCGTGTATGGTAGAAGTGCTAGAAGAGCTGAGTGATGCTGCAGTTTTGAAAAAAAACCCATTTAATTATTTTTTGTTTCTTCAGAATTCTCTCATGCAGTTAAAGCATAAACCTTAAAACTCCCTTGCATCACTACTGTTCTCAAATTGATTTAATGTCAACCCTCATAGTTCCTATTCTTGAAGAATTGTTTTGTTAATAGAACTTTATCAGCATAAAGTTCAAAAAACTTATGCTTATATTAATAGTTAGCTCCCCCACATCCTAAATATAGTTTTTTAATAAGTTTCATCAGTCATATTTACTACTAATATAATTAAGGTACATTTCAAAACAGTCCACTATTGACATCAAATACTAAATACAAAAAGGTATATGAATATAAATATATGCAATGGAAAAGTCCACTGTAGATCATTTTTATGTTTCTGAGAAAACCATGTCTCCAACCCTTCTCTTTGATTAGCAGATATGTCAGGTAGAGCTTTTAGTACTGAAAACTGTACTCCACCTGTTGGTTTTTGGCTGTTGATTCCTCCCACTTCTCAGTCACTGAACTGTGTTTGTTTGCTGGGCATCTGTATAAAGCCAGTTTGGGAGGAGGCTTGCCTGTCTCCTTCAGTTTACCAATCTTGAAATTCTGAAGTTAGACTAGTGCTTAACTTAGAATGGAGCAAGAGGAAAAATCTTAAAATCCTCTTTTTGCTAACCAATAAAAGTTGCTCAGCCAAAAATGCTCACATATTTATGGCCTCATGATTAACATAAGGCAACATTTGCACTCTGGCCTTTTGTCAGCTTTGTTCTCCTGTCACTACTTTTCATTCTTTGCTCTTCTCCTGTCAGTAAATTCACATGAACAATAACTGAAAGATGATTCTGTTAATATAATAAGTACCGTAATGCATCATTGCTTGGGCTGACTTATCTGCTGCTTGAAGCTTGACTGAATGTCCACAAGGTGTGGTAAATCTGTTTCTCTGTAATGGAGCAAACCCCAAATACTGCATAGCAAGAATCATTGAGCTAGAGCCACCACAGCTCTAATTCTTGTATCCTTGGGCTCTCAGTAGATGTTGGATACCACTGGCAGTTTTGGATGAGAAATTGGAACAGGCTACAATAATAAGTGCTCTAGTTAGTGCTGGCTGCAAAATAACTACTTGTACCAAACAAATGGTGTTTTCTGTAAGAAGGGGAGATGCTACTGTTTTAGATTAAAACCTTTCATTTTCCCATTGTGCACATATTTTTCTGTACTCTATGAAAATACAGTTCTGAGGAAGGTGGAGCAGATGTGGTCAGGCAGTAGTATTTTGTCATTGTAAGGAGAACCATGTGACATTTTAAGGTTTGTGTTGTGTAAGAAGTCAAATAAAATCATCTAATGCTTTTTAGCCTTGAAAATTAATTAACCTTTACTGTGTTTTTTTTAATGGATAAGCTTTCTGGGACTTCTTTCCCATTTCATTGTATTAGAATGTAAACAGTCTTTTGTTAGTAATAGTAAATTAGTCTGATGTGTAGAGATGTTGACACATTCAGGACCAAAATAGGAAAAAAATGCTGGTGTCATGTTTATTGAAGTATTCCTGCTAAATTTTCTTACATATAGTGATGTCAGGCAGTTGGGTGAGCTGTGTTCATAGTATGCACAAACAGCCTTTTCAAAGTAAGAGAATGACCCTTTCTGCACCCCTAAATAATGTAGATTTTTTTTTTACTTTGCATTAAAGACATGTGACTTCACTGTTCATACAGCTTGTCATGAAAAATATCCGTGTCAACTGTTCCCTTTATACCTAGATATTATACAACTGTCAAATAAAAAAATTGCATTCTTCCTTTCCCTTAATATTTACCAACTTAAGAGATTTTGTTGTCTGTCGAGCAATCCCAGAAGGAAATAAATGACTACACAGAATGGAACTTCCAACTGAAAGATTCATTGTCTTCCTTTTTATTTCTTAGGCCATTTTACATCAGTGCAGTGATATGAAAGAGTGTTCCAGTGCCCGATGTGTTGGAAGCTACACTGGTTTTCAGGTCTGTTTTGCTTTTTACGTCTTGCTCTTATTTATCCTAAATAAAATTGTGACTTTTTGTGAGGCATTTATCAGTCAAATGTGACATTGTAATCAATTTTATGTGTTTTTAAGCTGAAGTGAATGTCAAATTGCAGTTGAGGACACTCAGCACCATACAGGATGGGGACCATAGTTAAAACTGATGCTTGAAGAATTAATATTGTGTAATAGTTTTAAAATTGCTAGATTTCATTACAAATTTTTATTTAAACTGGTGGAAAACTGTCAGGGATGGAGTCGTGCACTTCACTTGCAAGAGGGAAGAAACAATATATTTTGTGTTTATGGGAGAGTGAGTTAACAAAGTTCTCCTGTAAATGTTACTGCTTTAACAAGAAGCCGTGACAAAGTACACTTGAGTATTTCCTGCCTGGACAACTGGGTCAGACAGAACTGTCTGAGACCCTCCTGTTGAGTGATGAGGTTCAGAAAGAACCCCCTTGCATTCTGAACTCCTCTGAGGGGAGTTAAGGTGTGTCTGCATCCAGATTTAGTCCCAGACTTGGTCAATGATTTATGTCTAAAGGATTATATGTGCACGATCATTCCTTTATATCACTTAGGTAAGGTTTCGAAGTTTTGGTGTGCTTATTCCCAATTCACTTACCAAGTGTTTGACTCAATAAGGATTATTTTAGCCTACTCAAGGACTGATCCTGATGTGCAGCCCACTGCTGTGCAGGAGAGCTCAGTGAACCCTGGGCTGTCCACTATTTATGATTAAGATGATTGACTCACAGACATGTTTGCCTACCAACTGCAGATGTTTGTTTCTTCCAGATGTGGCTTGAGTAGGACATTGCCCAGCACTGTGGTGAAGGAGAGTACACTGCTCAAATTAGCCCTCAGCTATTGTGTCTGGCTCCCCTGAATCCACTGTAAGCTGGATGCAGCCATCATGACCAGTCCCTTGAGACCACCAGTGGTGGTTATCACTTGAGCAGGTTTATGGGAAATAAAGGTCAGATTGAGAGAGAGAAGGAGAAGCATGCTGTCACAAAAAGCATGGCAACAGGACAGGATGTACATAAGGATGTATCCTATTTTCATAGGAAAGGATAACTTCACTGGGCAAATAATATACTGGAAGATGTATTTTCTGATTTTAGATAATGCTTTAATGAGAGCTTATAATTTGGAAAACACTCCAAGCCCATATATATTGCATCCAGAAAACAAGCCTGCAGGTTTCAGTGTGTTTTTCATTTTTACTCTCACGTGACAGCTTAACTTGTTACTACTTGATTATAATTAGGTACTTGATTTTCATCAACAATAATTTCTAAGTGAAGTACTTTATGTTTTTTTAAGAAGGCTTTGCTTAATACTGTGTGATTTCAGGTAAGAACATGAATTTCTGTGCCTCAGTTTATGTTTTCATACTATGAGTAATTTACCTAACTCAAATATGATATCAAGCATCAAAAATTTTCTGTGTAGCATTTTAAGCTCCAACTGATATTAGCAATAAATTGAACTTATCCCCCATACTAAGATACATTGATTTCTGAAAGCCCAACTGAAACTGATGTTTCAGGCCTTGAAAAAGCCCACTGTATCTTTTGTAACATCTTCTCTTTTGTCTTATTAGCATAGCATTCATCTGTTTTAATTTTGTTGAACAGTTCTAATTTCAAAGTCACTTGTTTGGCTGATTTTCTAACCTGAAGAGCTACCCAGGGTTAATCAAAGCTTAGTCTGTGTAGAGAGGATCTTTTGATTCTCTTCCTTCTGCTGGCTTTAACAGAATATCCTCTGTGTAAGCAAAATCCATGGTAAATGCTTGCTAGAAATATCTGGAAGTTAACGTAAAAGGTTCTGTCACACAAATGATGGTCCTGGAGAAACTTGCAAACTGCTTACATTTACTTCAGGCTTTGCTTGGAGTGCTGCAGCCTGGCAGGGGAGTCTGGCAGCACCTGGACATGCACACACAGGGCTGAGGGTCACTAAACCATTTTTCACGTAAAGTAAAGGTAATCAAAGGAAATTGTGAGCAGTAAACTATTATTGGAAAATATTACTGAACAATTAGTTGCATAATCTGTGTATGTGAAATATATGAATCATGATTGGTTTTACATTTATGTGCTGGAGACTGTTTGAGTGTCTTTATGTGTGAACGCACATGCACGGGTGTATATCTATATGAGTGTGTTCATATGTGAGTTCTACTCTCCCACAAAGAACTTTATATGGAAATTTTGTAAAAACCTCCATGTTTTCTGGCTTTGCTATTACATATGAATGAGTAAATTAAAAACTGGGGAAGACATGGGTGTATGGAAAGTCAGTGATTTGCTGCAGGGAAGTCTGGTAGTCTTAACACAGGTCTCGAGTGATGTGAGCATCAATTCTGAGTGGTGCTACTCTTGGAGGGAAAGGGACAGGGAGATGAAAACTGCCCAAGAAGTGTGACACAGCACAGAAGAGGGACAGATAGTGGCCCTTTTCTCAGAAACTTGTATTCTGAAATGCAAACCACAAGAAAAGAGTCTAGGGAATGTTTGGCAAGCGGAGCTCTGTATATTTCTAAATATTATGGGTTTTGAAAGAGTTGAGAGTGGAAAGATCTGCTTTGAGTGACCAGTAGATACTGATTGCCTGAGATGAATGAGGTTTTTTAAGCCACTTTTTCTGTGAGGGATTCTAATTGGATACTAACTTAATTCTCTAGCAATAACCTTCTGTGGATATGGCTATTTTGTATTTTTCACAGAAATGCCTGCTTGTTACACAGACAGTATTTTCCTTTTCTCAGACACCCTTGTGATGCACTATTGTAGGGTTTTGTTTATGTCTTTTCAAATTCGGAGAGCTGAGCCTGAATCCCAGCATGGAGGAGAACAGATTTTTTATTTCACAAGAAAAATCAGTGGGCAGTCATGATAGGGACTTTATTCTAAACATTCTGTCTTACCCCAGCAGCAGTGCTGGAACCCATAAGGTAAGAAATTACCTTTCCTGGCATTTTAATCAGCACTGTACCTGTTTTAAAAACAGTCGTGTTCTTTTGGGTTATTGAAGGGCTATGTTCCAAGTTGTGAACAATGTTATGGAACACATAAGTATATAAGCTTAAAATATATGCTTTCTGAAATCCATAATTATAAAGTTTGCTATACCACCCACAAAGTGGGTGAAATAGATTTGTGTACTGTTCTTTGTGGATTTTTTGTTTGGTTTTGATTTTGGTTTTCCTAAGTGGGAGAAATTCATACAGATAGAAATCCCATGAGTACTTCAAATCTTCATTTCAATTGTTGTGTCTGTGTGTGCATTCATATGTGTATTTTGGGAGAAAGGAAGAAAAGTCACGAAACATCGTGTACATGTGTACTTGAACAGTGACCAAGGTGGCAGAGTTTGAAGCTCAGATTTCTAAAATTGCTCTAGGCTCATCTGACTGATGCTGAAACCTGTTAGCAATTCCCACTGACTTCAGTGAGGGCAGAATTAAATAAATAATGAACGCTTTTGAAAATTAAACAAATTCTTTGCTTAACTGCGATTGAATAGCCTGACCTGGTTCTGATATGTCACTGGTGAAAATCTAAGGTAAGCACAATTTTCTTAATCTCTGAGATTTGTTGAACACTTCCCTATTCTTTTGTCTCCTTTTGAAACTCCTGCTGACTGCTGGTGGGAAGCTGAACCTGCTCGTGCTGTTTAGAACGAGATGATTCCAATAGTGTGCTTTTCTTATTGGAATGACTATGGAAAAGAGCCAAACTGCTATTGAATATGGTCAACTGCCATGCTACTGAAAATCTAACTATGCCTTAGATATATGTCTTAAATATCTCTGCCAGCACCTGAGAAGTGAATAATTTTAAGAAGTATAAATTACAATTACTATATAGTAAATTATTCTTTTACATCAAAAACTTCCAATTCAAATAGCTACCCAGGAATCATAGATGTTCCAACAACCTCAAGCATTTTTTTGCAGAAATACACAATTACATTTGTCCTTTTCCTCGGTGGCTTTCTTGGGACAATCCTTACATTGGATGCCATGTTCAGAAATATTAAAGATTTCTAATATAAGTATTTAGATTCTTTATTAGCTTGAATATAAAGCAGAGAAGAGTGGCTCTGGGTAACAAATACAGTTTATTCTTGGGCTGACTGTTGATTCCAGCAGTTCTGGTTTCAGTAGTTGTCAGTAAATTCTGCCAGATTAATATGCTGTGTTTTCTTCAGCTAAGACATGTCTTTGGTGAATTGCTGAGGTTGAGGTTTCAGGGCCTTTTATGCTATATTTGTGGTTCATCTAGTTTGGCTATTTTCAGAACAGGTTAAAATATTGTAATCAAAGTGAAAAGCATGAACTCATAGAACTTGGTTTAGGAAACAGCTCTCCCTTAATCCAGAAAAATTCATAAGAGTTGGATAGCACTGGTACCTCCTATCTTTCTGAGACCTGATTCTTGCCGACTCTTACGTACCCTCATAGTAGGTGTCACTTTGCACGATCTAGACCTTCTTGTAGCTATGGAAGTTATCCTTCTGTGGCTAAATATTCGATTTGTTTCTTTATGACTGGCAAACTCTCAACCTAGCTAACTACAGTCAGAAAGAAGTTGCACAAAGTGTTTTTTTCAAATACTGTTTTGTGATTTTAAAACTTCTGTCTTTGTAATTTTTCCTTGGTATAGTTCAGGTTTTTATGATGTGGAAGGGTCCCTACAAGTACTTAGTATAAAAAAATTGTGGGATTAAGGAGTTACACTCTTAAGGATTCAAATCTGTGACCAGTATTATTTTCTACGGTGAAGTTCTCTAGCTGCCTTATTGAAGTTTTCTTGTTAATCATGTCTACTCTGTCTGAGCTGACCTGAGCCTGGATACACTGTGGTTGAGTTTATACAGTTCTGTGTTGTGTGGTTTGCTTGGGCTGGATTTGGGATCCCTGAATTTTAGTGTTGCTAACTTTTCTCCTTCCTATCAAAACTT